CATGCCAAATTCAGCGGGAGCTCAATCAGCTCAGCACCTTGGGGTTTGTCTATACTTAAAAGGCTGCAGGAGCACAGCTGCACCACTATTGCTCTCCAATGTTGCCTTGTGTAGGTACTTCCCTTCCCCAAGAGCTGATAGTTATGTTGACAGGAGAAGACCTCCTCTTAACATAACTTGAAAGGTTTGCTACTATAACTATGCTGGTGTATGCTCCCAGCACAGAGACAGTTTATACTAGCAAGAGTCCTTTTACCAGAATAACTTTTATCAGTTCCCTGACAGAATAGGCTATCCAGGCAAATGGATCCCCATCACAACTACCAGCACTGCTAGTCCAGTGGTTGGAAAGATGCTCATAATGTATTTGTTGACCTGGTGTAAAGGGGGCTTGAAATTCATGGCAAACAGTTATTTCCTTCATATGGGCTCCAACGTAACATTTCTGGCTTCAGTGCTGCACCTTGATTCTCTGAGGAGTCTTGATGATTTCACTGGGCTTGACAGACCCCCCTGCTGCTGGCTCCACTTCCTGCCCTGCCACCCTACTGGGCTTCCCAGCTCCTCCCTCCCCACCTCTCCCTGGCAGCCCAAATTAATTGTGTGCCAGGCTTCCTGGCTTCTGGCCCACCCCAAGCAGCCCAGATGAACTGTGTGCCAGACACCTGCCCTGCCCCCTCCGCAGCCCAGCAAGGCCGCGTGCTAGGCTCCCTGCCTGCCCGGGCAGAGCAGCTGCATTGTGCTGCCCCCTCCCTTCCCCACAGCATGCGAGGACTCTCTGATCCTGGAACCACTGTGGTCCTGCTGGACCATGAATGTTGCTGGACCAGAGAGTCCCGGTTTATAGAGGTTCAACCTGTACCACCCTATTGTTGTCAAGCTTGTCCTAAGTATTTGCGCAATTACATTGTCTTCACTAGAAAAATAGATGTGTTTGGACCACGGGGTATGAACACCTTTTTTTCCCTGTAGTGTGCACACACCCGTAGGGTCTGATTTTTTTCAGAGATGTAAAGCACCCTCATGCCAAATTCAGCGGGAGCTCAATCAGCTCAGCACCTTGGGGTTTGTCTATACTTAAAAGGCTGCAGGAGCACAGCTGCACCACTATTGCTCTCCAATGTTGCCTTGTGTAGGTACTTCCCTTCCCCAAGAGCTGATAGTTATGTTGACAGGAGAAGACCTCCTCTTAACATAACTTGAAAGGTTTGCTACTATAACTATGCTGGTGTATGCTCCCAGCACAGAGACAGTTTATACTAGCAAGAGTCCTTTTACCAGAATAACTTTTATCAGTTCCCTGACAGAATAGGCTATCCAGGCAAATGGATCCCCATCACAACTACCAGCACTGCTAGTCCAGTGGTTGGAAAGATGCTCATAATGTATTTGTTGACCTGGTGTAAAGGGGGCTTGAAATTCATGGCAAACAGTTATTTCCTTCATATGGGCTCCAACGTAACATTTCTGGCTTCAGTGCTGCACCTTGATTCTCTGAGGAGTCTTGATGATTTCACTGGGCTTGCATTCGGACACAATGGATTAATGCTCTTGATGATCTGGTTCTAGGCTTGCATTTATTTTCTCTTAGAATATTCCCAAAACACATCAGCTAAGAAGTGCATTTTCTACTTACACTTCTCCTTTGACCCATATTATCCCATCACTATCATGACAGCTATGGGAAGTAGAAGGCCTGAAAGCATATGTAACCCCTGAAAGTTAGCTGGAAATTAACTAGAGTGTATTTCCGTAGTATCACTGCTGGGAATTGTAAACCTTTTAAGTATCTCTTCCTAGTCCTGAGAGCTTATCTAAGATTACTCTGCTGTTATAAGTGAAACTTGTTGGATGCAAGTTTACACTCCGGGTCAAATTCAGATGGTCCTTTGCTGAGAAGTTGTACCAACTCTATATAACTAGGTAGATTTGGCCCTCTCTTGTGTATTATGGGTAGGGTATAGTACGTGGGAATGAGAGTCAGCTACGCAATAATAGATATTTTATACAAGAGAGGTCCAAGTCCAAGCAAAGCACCAACTCCAAATCTTTACAGATTCAGCCCCATGTTTAATTCCTGATTGTCTTTCCTGTCGTTAATAATGACTGAGAGCGGTCATCACTTTTGCCAATAGTTTTCTTCAGAAAATAGGTGTTGTATCCATTGGCAACTACTGGCTTTAATGGTGACCTATGTATTAAGACAGACATATCAGGACTGTTTTAGAGCATTAAAAAAAAAGTTCTGGAGCTCTGGCTATTCTTTTTGTGCCCTTTTGCTTCACCTCTCTCCATTTCACTTCTTGTTTTCTGGTACTCAGACTCGTTAGTGCTGGTTGTTTCTTTTTTAACATGTCAGCAGTGCTCTTTATTTGTTGGTTCTCTCTGTCTCTAACTGCTCCATCCCCCAAGTCCCACTTAATTTACTTTCCTTCTCTCGTCTGTCAGCTGTACTCTCTCCTTCAGCTCTCTTATTTTGTCAAAGATGCTGTTGAATTTTTTTACCACCCTCCTCTCTCCCCCCCCTTTTTTTGCTTTTGCTGCATGGTATTAAATTTTGGGCTGCAGTGCTATACATTCTCACCTTTCATCTCAATCTATACTCTGTGTGACTTTTCCTTCCAAACAAATAATTTATGGCCGATATATTTCTAATCCATCAATCTCTCCGATGACTTTCTGAAACAATACTGATATGCCAAATCGAGTACAGGGCTGTGTTTCTTGTTTCAGCAACCTACTTTATATTGAATATTGTTTTTACTACTTAGATGCGATTAGCAAAATCAAAGCAAGGCCATATTTATTAAAACACTCAATGTTCACTTATGAGTTAAACATTGGATTCAACATACATGTCCATCTATCACAGAAAAACAAGGCATCCAGTAGTTAGTTATGTAAGACATGAGTAATTTTATGAAAACACTGCCACTGACTATATTATACATCTACGTAGCTTTATCAAACAAAGCAAATGATTATCATCAATTATAATAACATCGTTTGACAACCCTGCAATTAATCTGCTGCTCTTCAGATAACTGTTGTTGCACAATGCCAAAGAAAATGCCATGCATTAATTGACTCATCACCAGAGTCTGTGATAGATGGTACAGATGGTAATGTGATTATTCATCTTCAACAAAATAAATAAGTGCTTTGTTGCTGGAAACAATTTCTTTTGGTCTTCTAAAAGAATGACAACAGGGTATTTGAGATGCCTTTGAAGGTAACTGTAATATACCTATAGTGAGATGTAGTTCTTCTGAAGCATTATTTCAATTATTTACTTAGGAATCTGTAGAATGCCAGATATGCAAGGTGCTTCACAGACAGAAATCAAGCTAATGGGTAATGGGTATAAGCAGGAGCTGCTAAATTTCCTAAAATGAGAGGGGACAGCCCTCTCTCCCCAAACTCCTGCTTGTTCCTCTCCTCCTTCCTGTCTGTCACCACTACAGCCTGATAAAAAGCAATGAGACTATGGCCCATCCCCTCCTGTTCCAGAGCCACTAGATACAGCACAAAGTATGGATGGAAGAATAAAACTTTCCCATTCTTTCTGTGTACAAAGCAGCTGAAAATTGCTCCTTTAGAGCTCAGGCCGGTCCATCGTCTGTAGGCATCACCATGTATTCCAAAAATTTGCTCGAAACCAACTAAGGCATTGTCTATGCTAGCACTTTTGTCATTTGGGGGTGTGAAAAAACACCCGGCTGACCAACATAAGTTACATTAACAGAAGCACTGGTGTGGACAGTAATAAGTGGACAGGAGATGCATAACCATCGCTCACTGGGAGTGGTTTAATTACACAAACCAGAGAGCTCTTTTCCATTGGCAGGAGACACATGGAAGACCTTACAGTAGTAAAGTAGCATTGATACAGCTATTGTAGATACTAAGGGCATGTCTACACTACATGGAAGATCAACCCTGCCTCAGTCAATCGTCTGGGGTTCGATTTCACCAATATAGTATAGACCCACTAGATGGAACTCAAAGGGTGCTCCCATTGATGCTGGTAAACCTGCTCCTCATGAGGATTAAAAGAAGTCAATGGGAGCATTTGCTCCTATCGGCCTGCTGCTGTGTGGACGGCGTGGAAATGTACTGTAAGATATGTCGACACCAGCTATGTAATTTACATAGCTGGAGTTGAGTATCTTACTTAAATCTTCCCATGTAGTGTGGACCAGGCCTAAGATATTGATGTCTAAGAAATGTATGGGATTTATGAGAGACTAATGATAACCATGTATGAGATGCCAGGATCACTATTTTACAGTATCTGTTTGCCCACTAATAGAGACAAAATAATAAATCAGGTCCGGTCTCTGCAAAGATGTACTTGTGGGGCTAACTCTGCATCCCTTGAGCAGAAGCAGTGACATCAATAGGACTATTCACCAGGTGTAATGTTAACCATGTACATAGTCTTCACAGGGTTACAGTGTACAGTAGAAAAGATTTAACAGTGGTAAACAATAAAGGTAGAATTTCCTTAGAAACAATCAATCTCTGTTTTAAAGAATGAAAAATATTGTGCTACAATTTTAGAATATTTTTGGAGAGCTTGTTACTATTCTATTAAAGTTCCTTTGCAAATCCCAACCTAAGAAAGGTTGAAGTTCAATGGGATTTAAGCACCGAGGGTGAAATCTAGGCCCTATTAAGATATTGGGAGTTTTGACACTGACGTCAATAATGCAGAATTATACCACTGATTTTCTTAATCTCCTTGCAAACCCCAGCCTTAAGGCCCAACCTCCTAACTGCAATTTTTTTATTCAACATGTGAGTAGCGTGTATCTACTCACATATCCCCGTACTGCATCGTCCACCTAACAGAGAGCATGCTGTGCTTGAATGATACACATGTATTAAAATGCACCATTAAAATATTTCCCTTTTCATGAGCAGCAATTAGAACTCTTATAAATGGAGAGCAAGTATTTCATACTGGTTCATTTTAAACTTCAAGTACATTGACCTACCTCCCCAGAAAAAGCTTGTCCATTAAGTAGATGTTCTGATCCTTGGCTATCTTCACTTCCAAAGTGTAACCGGATCTCTTCCAAGCGGTGACTGTATGTCATGGGCCCTCCAGAGATGTTCACCAAATGCTCTTTGTCTAATCGTAGAGAAACATGTCTCCCCGTATTATACATTGTCCCACTGACCTAAACAAAATGAATAAACAATATAAAATGAAGACGTTTTCCCAAAACCAGTAGAAAGTCCTAGAAAATAATGTTGCAGACTTCGAGCTTTTGCTCCTTTAACACCTTCAGAACAATCCAACCATAAACCTTTAAAAAGCTAAGAGATGAAATACCCAACTGAAGGGTGTATTTCAAGTTCCACTTTTAAATATTATACTTTATATTCAAATATTTTGCTAAATCCTTATGTACATATTTTAGCCTCAGGCATGTGGTTAACACAATGAATATGATTATTATACCTCTAAATAAGTATACATGAGAAAATATTCTTTGTGAGATCTGAATAATGACTTCATTACAGAATTTCTGTACTGGGAAAGGGGAACATTTCAGCTGATGCATAAATAATTCACAATATATTTAAACAAATCAGAAATTTAACTCATTTTTTTCATACTGAAATATTTATAAGAAAATTTGTCTCAAAGCACAGATGCTACAAAAGCAGAAATATAAAATGTAGATAGAAGCCTTCAGCTCCCGTTGGAATCAATGGTAAAAACTGCATTGATCTGTTATAAGGCTTTCACTTTTCACAAGAATGTACTGTATTTTATTTCCCAGATGCATTAGTCACAATGATACAAAATTAACCTTTTGTGAGTTCTATGGCCCATCTTTTATAACTGATCTTTATTAAAAAAAAAAAAAAAAAGAATGCAAAATATGCTTTGCTTGTAAAATCTACTACAGGTTGAACCTCTCTAGTCTGGCACCTTCAGGAGGTCAACATTGTCTAGCAGTATTACTAACATTTCCACTGTTTACTGGGCTCTTAGAAGACATTTAGAGGTAAATTAGAGCTAAATAACAATACAGAAAACAGAGAGTCATGGCTGGTGGCTTTAAACAAACTTTATGGGACCAGAGGAACCCTGGCCATACCCATGATAAGTGGACATCCTGCTAACTAAAATCATGTCAGACTATGGATGTTGCCAGACCAGAGTGTGCCGGACTAGAGAGGTTCAACCTGCATATATTTGAGAGAAACAAAATACAGAACTATGTAGCACTTTAAAGACTAACAAGATGGTTTATTAGGTGATGAGCTTTTGTGGGCCAGACCCACTTCCTCAGATCAATATGTGGAAGAAAAATCGGCACAACCATATATACCAAACTGATACAATCAAAGAAACGAACGCATGTGAAATTGACAAATCAAATTTTAGAACAGAGTGGGGATGAGGGGGGAAGGTTAGTTTCTGTGAGGTAATGACATAGGGGTGATAATAGGGGAAGTTTCTGTGAGGTAATGACATTAGGGGTGATAATTGGGGAAGCTATCTTTGTAATGGGTGAGATAATTAGAGTCTTTGTTTAAACCCATACATAAAGTGTCAAATTTAAGCATGAATGACAATTCTGAAGCTTCTCGTTGAAGTCTGGAGTAAAAGTCTCTTTGAAGCAATATGCATGTTTTAAGGTCCTGGGCACTGTTATTTAAAATTTGGATTTAGCCCTGACACAGTATGCTAGGTTTCCAGAACTAAGAGTTACTGTTACTCCTCTCAGCCTCAACCAGTGAATGTTTTGCTACAGCTATGCTGTGTGACAGATTCCTGACATATTAGGTAGTCTGCAGCAAAGTCTTCTGGACTTTGCCAGTCTAGACCTTGCATAATGGATAACAAAAAAATGAACCCTAACTCCTGACTTCCCTCAAGACATCTTCCTTGTAGCATCCAGCTCCCTTTCAGAATGCTCATAAAAGTTAAGTTTGCTGATCCTGTAAAGAAAAGACAGAACTAAAAGATGGTTTATTAGGTGATGAGCTTTCATGGGCCAGACCCACTTCCTCAGATCAATTTGTGGAAGAAAATTGGCACAACCATATATACCAAAATTATACAATCAAAAAAATGAACACATGTGAAATTGACAAATCAAATTTTAGTCCTTCCTCCCTCACCCCCCCTCTGTTCTAAAATTTGATTTGTCAATTTCACATGCATTCGTTTTTTTGATTGTATAAATTTGGTATATATCATAGAATCATAGAATAATAGGACTGAAAGGGACCTCGAGAGGTCATCGAGTCCAGCCCCCCGCCCTCAAGGCAGGACCAAGCTCCGTCTACACCATCCCTGACAGATGTCTATCTAACCTGTTCTTAAATATCTCCAGAGAGGGAGATTCCACCACCTCCCTTGGCAATTTATTCCAATATTTGACCACCCTGACAGTTAGGAATGTTTTCCTAATGTCCAATCTAAACCTCCCCTGCTGCACTTTAAGCCCATTACTCCATGTCCTGTCCTCAGAAACCAAGAGGAACAAATTTTCGCCTTCCTCCTTGTGACACCCTTTTAGATATTTGAAAACCACTATCATGTCCCCCCTTAATCTTCTTTTTTCCAAACTAAACAAGCCCAGTTCATGAAGCCTGGCTTCATAGGCTTCTCTAGACCTTTAATCATTCTTGTCACTCTTCTCTGTACCCTTTCCAATTTCTCCACATCTTTCTTGAAATGTGGCGCCCAGAACTGGACACAGTACTCCAGCTGAGGCCTAACTAGTGCAGAATAGAGCGGCAGAATGACTTCACGAGTTTTGCTTACAACACACCTGTTGATACAACCTAGAATCATATTTGCTTTTTTGGCAACAGCATCACACTGTTGACTCATATTCAACTTGTGGTCCACTATGACCCCTAGATCCCTTTCCGCCATGCTCCTTCCTAGACAGTCGCTTCCCATCTTGTATGTATGGAACTGATTGTTCCTTCCTAAGTGGAGCACTCTGCATTTCTCCTTATTAAACCTCATCCTGTTTACCTCCGACCATTTCTCTAACTTGCTAAGGTCATTTTGAATTATGTCCCTATCCTCCAAAGAAGTTGCAACCCCACCCAGTTTGGTATCATCTGCAAACTTAATAAGAGTACTCTCTATCCCAATATCTACATCATTGATGAAGATATTGAACAGTACGGGTCCCAAAACAGACCCTTGAGGAACTCCACTTGTTATCCCTTTCCAGCAGGATTTAGAACCGTTAACAACAACTCTCTGACTACGGTTATCCAGCCAATTATGCACCCACCTTATCGTGGCCCTATCTAAGTTATATTTGCCTAGTTTATCAATAAGAATATCATGCGAGACCGTATGCTGATTTTCTTCTTCTCTTGCAACAAACCCCGTTGCCAGCTTTGTCCACATATTCACTCTGCTGATACCATTATTGGACCTAACCAAGTGAGTTATCAGATCAAGAATACATATTCCTGCGCATCCAGAAATATAATCTATGCTATCATGTGCCGAAAGTGTCCGTCTGCTATGTACATTGGACAAACGTCTCAGACACTTCGCCAAAGGATCAATGCCCACAAAACAGATATTAGACAGGATCACAAAGAAAAAACAGTTGCTTGCCATTTCAACCAGAAAGGACATTGTCTCAATGACTTAATTACCTGCATCCTGCTTCAAAAGGCTTTTAAGACTGCACTTCAAAGAGAATCCTCTGAACTGTTATTCATGCTAAATTCGACACTTTACGCCGGGGTCTAGTTATCTTACCCATTACAAAGATAGCTTCCCCAATTATCACCTCTAATATCATTAGCTCTCAGACATTTACCTTCCCCCTCCCCCCGCGTCCTCCTTCTGTTCTGAAATTTGATTTGTCCTTTTCATATGTGTTCATTTTTTAAAATTGTATCCTTTGGTATATATGGTTGAGACTATTTTCTTCCACTATTTGATCTGAGGAAGTGGGTCTGGCCCACGAAAGCTCATCATCTAATAAACCATCTTGTTAGTCTTTAAAGTGCTACCCAATCCTATATTTGAGAGAGTTTGTCTGTATGTCTGTTCAAGAACTCCTCCTAAATAGTAAGAGCTAGGACCACCAAATTTGGTATACTACTTCCTCTTATCTTAACTTGAAGCAAGGCAAGTGTTTGGCTGTTCCAGGAAAATGGGATGTGCCTGGAATGGGATTGCTTCTTGTGAAACCATACAGAAAAAGATTGAATCACCTGGCTGGTGAAAAGGACTGGCTGGGAGTGTGTCCCTGATCCGGGACAGCCCTCAGCCTCTCACCCCCCAGGCGCCCTTTAGGGAGTGTGAGGGGAGGGACTGAATCTTCCCCCACCCCGATCCGTATGGGGAAAATGCTGACTGTTCCCCTTCATCAGGGAGCAAGGGAAGTGCTCAGTTTACTGCATTCTTTGCTCTTGCTGAGGAGTGCACAGGTCAGACAAGCAGTGAACTTTGCCTTACCCCCTGACAGGGACAGGAAGGTAAAGAGCAAACAGCTCTGGTATGAATCTTGGGGGAAGGGAAGCTTTGCCCCCCTCATTCTCCATCCTTATACACACAAAGTCTCCTGCCCAGAGCCCCTTCTTACTCCAACCCTGATTCCTGTACCCTCACATCCCCCGCCCCCTCCTTAAGGACCTGAGCAATGCTGGGAATCTTTGCAAGTAAAATATCGACAAAAGTGATCCTAAAATTACAACCCAGATAATGTACAATGGAAGGAAAATAAATTTAGTGTAGAAAAGTTTTTCATTTTAAATAAAAATATGCTGTAAAATTAGTAACTATATGAAAAATAGAGTAAGAATATCCTTTAATTTATGCTATTGTAGGGAGAAACATTTATTTGAGTGCAGAATTGAACTGAGGCTGACTTACTAACATTCTGCAGCAATGCAAATAGTACATTTAAACAACATTAATATTAATTAGAAGGAAGTGTAGCAATGGTATGCTTTGTTGCACTTCAATTTAAAATTAAAAGCTTGACAATTATGTTTTATATCTATAGCACATCGGTACTGTAGTAATTAACATAGCTGCAGTGGCATTTTATCTTTAATACTAATTACTGTACTGTCTTTAAATGACCTGTTTTGTTACATAGTATGCTGTAAAAAGTTACATTATACAAACCGTGTGACAGAATTAAATGGTTAAGATTAAATAGCATCTGTT